CTATCGAAAACAACAAGAATTTAATATTGCTGAGCTGCAAGTCTTCCAGTTTGAAAGACCTACTTGCCATGACACTTTTCTTTCTAATTCATCAAACTAATGTACCAAGGATTTATCAATTTCAGGAATAGATATTATCATGTCATTTAATAGTATGATGGATATGCAACATCAACAGGCAGCTAATTTATCATATAATTTAAAGGAGCATTAATGATGCTTATATAGTTATCCAAATGTTTTCTTAGTCAACAATATTTACATTTGAACTGAATTTGCATGAATATTCAGGAAATGGTGTTGTCCATCATAAATAATTCCTTTATGCAACTAGAGAAACTGAATATTCACAATATATTTTAGCTGATTAAAACTTGATCAGCCAATCAACCTTAGAGGAAAGTGGTTTAGTGCAAAGCTTTGAGTTAGCCTGACATTAATTTGAGTTGAAAGGTTGGGAAAGGAAATGGAGAAATGAACTCGGTGGGAGCTGACTTTGGATCCAGCTGCTTGGCCACCACTAAAGTGTCAGAGGTATAATGTAACAGATAAGAGGAAGACTTACTGTGGTTCAAACTCAGCTATCGTGTCATGTCTCTCGCTCACATCTAACTTTTTTCTCAGCAGGTGCTGCTCCTATTCCACCCCTTTGCTCAGCTCAGAGGGAATATCTTGACACGGTGTTACATCTCTGATCTGACAGTCATTCTGTGCAAGGGAGGAACTGACCAGTTTATTTGGTTCAGGTTGGTCATAAAGGAAAAGATGATTTTAAAGAAAACTACAGAGCCTTTCATATGGGTAAAGAGAAAAACAAGTTTGTGCATGCGTACAGCATTTCATACAATGGCAATATAAAGTATGATAGAAGAAAATAAAAGAACTGATATATTAAAAACATTGAAATATACATTATTTAACAAAAATGTATGAAATACACAAAATATGTCAACCATCAGTTGGAAAAATGTACGGTAAGCATCCCGTAAAAAGTAACCATATAACCAATCAAATGCTAAAACATAATCGAATTAAACCGACATTTAATCGGCAGTAAACAGCAAATCCTAGTTTAAAATGGCTGTCAGTTTGTTCATACCTCAGGCTCTCAGGTTGGTGGTTCCACCTTTGAGGAACAAATAGTAAATTCTGCCTCCGCTTGTTTAGTTCTGGTCCAAGAAACACTAAGTGAGCATCTCTCAGAGGGCCTGAGAAGTCTACATGGTCCATAACTGACCAGCAGTTGATTGAATGATTTTTACAGAGTTCGATTCTCCTGTTGTTCATTTAATGTCAGACTTATGTGTCTGTCAGGTCTTTATGGCATGATTTCGCAGCATCAATAAGTCAAGCTGTCTGGCATCTTCCATTATACTGTGTGACAGAAGTTTATGTCAAGATTTTATACGATCCAGTTTGCACGGTGTGGCATGTTCAAGTCCCACACAATTTCTTTAATCATCAACCGTCAATATATCATCCAGCCAGACAACTACACTGGCCCAAAACTACTTTGTGTCTTACTTACTAAAATGATGAAACTACAGGGTGTGAAGCTTAAATACCTTTCTAACCTCTGAGGCCTGATATAATAACTCCAACCCAAACTGCAAGATGGTGTTCTGCAAGCCAGGATTCACTTTGAGAAGAAATATCTTCATATTAGAAAAAGCTGTGCCACAATCTTATCATTGTAAACATTTTCTATAACATTGAATAATTATATTGAAATATTATCTCTTTCTTGGTTAGCTTGGGTTATCAGTAACCCAAGCATGTTGTTATCTTAATAAAACTGATGTGCTGGTGCTAATTTCTTGAATCCATAATGCTGTGATGATCTCTACTCTGGGCATTCCTAAAGCTTGACATTGAAAAAGTGTTTTTAAAACATAATGATTTAAATCTTGGTATTCCTTGACACCTTTTTATTTCTAGCATGCCTTTACCTCTTCCAAGCGAAATGCCAAGGGAGGACGATGTCTGTCCACTCACCTCCTTGTCTCTGGTCTGTCTGGACCACAGAGACATTTCTGAGACCAAGCAGTGGGATGGATGCACAGACAGCTTTGATGACAGATAGCTGCAGTTTTTCACTTTCTGGCCTCAAATAAAAGTCGGAGTCAGCTAGAAAGTCCCGCAAAGTCAGTGAACCCTCTAAGAAAAAAGAAAAAAGAGGGAGAGAATGAAAGAGTTGAGTATTTCTCCAAAATAAGAGTTCAGTAGTTTTTGTAAGGCAACCACCATGTTTACATGGCTCTAAAGCTCTGCGCGAGGCCAAATGTTATATATACAGCCAAGGCTATCTGAAAAACCAGCGGACATGGCCTCCGCAAATACAACCAATCTCCTAATCTCTCTCGGTTTGAATGCTCCTTTTCCTCTCGTCTCCTCAAATGAAGTAAGGTTCGAGCAGAGGCTTGTCTCATTTTTCAGGAGTGAGACAGCTCTTTCAACTTAATTAAAATGTTTTTCCTTTTTCTCCGGTCCTTTAGAGAATTCTTAAAAACGGTTTAAAGCCCAAATAACATGAGCACTTCTTCAAGCCATGCCAGAACCCCTTTCCGCTTGGAAATATTTGCTTTGGACGCCAGCCTTGCCCAGCACACAACACAGGCAATTATGGGAGCTATTTAAACAAGGGAGATCTACTGACAGCCGACGCCTCATTTGGAGGGATGAAGGAATCAGGAAATGAAACCTTCATTGATGCACTGAGGGTAGAGAAATCCCCTTGGGGCCCCGTCTGTGACCATTTGCGTATCTCATGGGCATTTTGAGTGTTGAAACTTGCAGCAGTTATATGTTTGGATATTTTTAAAGTTTGTGATTGTGTTTAAAGGCAAACCAGGCAGAGACTTTATGCATATATGTTAGGATTTTTTTTTTTCTTGGACTGCTGGAGGTTTGTTTATCTGCAAAGGTGCAGCCGCGGTTTGCTGGCTGCTTCCAGGGTCCTTTCTCCGGGGACCATAAGTAGCTCCCTTTTTCTTTTAGTGTCAGTCTCACTGTCTTTCTCCTTCTGGAGAACTCTCCTTCACCTGGCTGTAGACTGACACTTTTCTCAACATCCTCAGCAGACAGAACACACTGTTTTTAGTGGGACAGAGACAGTGTTGATGACTGGATGTGAAAACAGGACAGAAAACCTCACAGTCTGACGAGGGTGATAAGTGCTGCTACCTGTCACTGACCTTCTCTTCAACTCTTTCTTCTTGGAATGCTGCATGTGTCGTGACATTGTGATTAATTGAGCTTTTAAACAGAAAAAGAAAACATGAAGAATGATGTTTTATTTCTGTCTCCTCCTGGGCTGAGAATTCCCCAGAAAGAAAACTTGATCCAGAGGTTTTCTCAGACTGGACAAATAGACAGTAGATTAGTTTCGGATGACATTCTAATAACATTAATCATAATATTAAAAAACGTGTGCATACAACAGTTTTATTTTTTCTTATTTTAATCATGGATAAAATTGTAGCATTTCAGGTTGTTCTCAAATGGGAGTTGGAGATAGATTAGATTGAAATATTTTCAGAAACAGTTGGTTTTGACTCTTTGGACTTTGTAAGCTGAGTGTTTTTCTGATTTGTCGTGCTGAGCTGAGCAAAAAGGGGAAGCTCTCAGTTTACTGGTTTACCTGTGGTCATGAGATTTTGACCATAGCCAAGAGAATCCAATCCCAGATACAAAAGTCAGGGATAAAGTTATTCAGCAGTTTAAAGCAGGATGAGATTATGAAAATAATTTGTGACACAACTGCAAATCGACCCTGACGTTGACTAAACTGACTGGCTGGCAAGTAGAGCGTCAATCAGAGAAGCAGCTAAGAAAGTAAATCTAGAAGACTGGTACAATGAGACGTTGTTGCAGTTGTATCATGCTGTGAGGATATGTTTCTCCAGCAGGTGAAAAATATCAGAGATGTTGGGAAGTTGAATGGAGCAAAATACTGGAAGAAAATGTGTCAAAGGCTGGGCCAAAAGTTCACCTTCCAAAATGGCTCAGATCAAAGCATCTTCACATGTTCATGGACAAAGATTTTGGTTTCCAGATGTTCAGCACCGTTTGAGACACACCTGGAAGATCTGCAGCTAAAATTACAGATAAATTTGACTCAAGGGGGCTGAACACAAATTTACACTTTTCAGGCTTTTATTTGTTGAAATCCATGTATGTATTCACTGTTATGCCCTATTAGGCAAAAGAAAAACAGAATAATAAAACTAATGAAATTCATTGGACATTGTGTTTGTAGAAGGATAAAATGTGAAAGATTTGATAGGTTTCTGACAATTTTTATATTATATTTAATGATAATTTAAAATGTCTCAATGTCTATTTTATTTTCTAGCTATGAAGGAGGAGTTACTTTGAGGGTCATTCATAGTGAGCATCCTTTTTCTGCCTGAGTTTGATGCGACGCTTTGCTAAATACTCTGTATGTACTTGAAGTAGATTCTCTCCCCCACTGACTTTGAAAGAAAAAAATCCCACTCTTCTCTTCCTATCTAAACTTTTCCTCCCCCTCTTTCTCGTCCCTCTCCTCACATTCCTCCCGTCACTGGGCTGACAGACACTCATCATCAACAGGTACTCTGGCCCAGTTGGATCAGGTTTCCCCTCTTTACTGGATTGTGCTGCATTTGCATTTTTATAGCTCAGTCCTGAACAGTTGGAGGTTTTAAATGGAGCTTTGAGGTTTTTGTTTAGGTTTTTGTTATTATTGCTTTTACTCTCACATCGCAACTTAAAAATTTTCAAATAATTTCATTAAATAAAATTTATATGACCATGTTTGTTTTTTTTTTTTAAAGGAAGATGACCTCTAGATTTTTTTCAGAGTACTTAAATGTTTAAATCATGCTTGCATCATCTGTTTGGCCCATGGAGCAAGTCCCGATTCGATCTCAGACAACCCCCGCACAGACTATCGGTCCAACATTTGTTCTGTTTTGAACTGTTCTCATTAATTTGTGTGTGGCTGTGTTTCCTGGCAGACGTGGACGAATGCTCGGAAGGCAATGGTGGGTGCCAGCAGATTTGTGTCAACATGATGGGCAGCTATGAGTGCCGCTGCAGAGAAGGATTCCTCCTGAGTGACAACCAGCATACATGCATCCAGCGGCCTAAAGGTGAATCACCTGCACACATGCTTTAGACAGCTCGTATATTTATTCCCTGACAATTTTCTTCTTTTCTTTTCTTTTTTTTTTTTTTTTTTTGGTCACACTTAATTTGTAAGATATACATAGTCATACCAAAACACAGTTTTCAGATTTAATTTAATAAATGAGAAGAGCGATCTAAACCAACCTGGTCTTATGTGAAATTGCTGACTAAACAACAGCCTATCTGAGATTTGACAAAAAAAACATAGTCCCAGAAAACTCTCTAAACTTTTGGGGAAATATTTTACAGTGTAGCAAGACCAAAATTAAACATTCTGAAACTTGTGGGTCCTGAATGCAAATCGAACTCAACGCTTTTGAGTGTGATGTTGTGGGGCTGCTTTCCTGCTACAGGACCTAGAAAATTTGCCAAATTACTTGAATCCATAACTCTTCTTCTTTTACTACAACATTCTGAAGGAAAGTGTTTGGCCATAGGTTTGTGACCTAAAGGTTAGGCAGACTTGGGTTGTGCAGCAGAACAATGATTCAAAGCATACCACCGCAGAAGAGATAAAAACGGAAAGTTTTTCTGTGGCCTAGTCAAAGTCTTGACTGTGATGTGAATGTTAGCCCATTTAAACCCAAATTTTTCCCAGACATGAATATATTAAAATCAGATGTCATTGATTGCTCTTTGAACTAATCAAGGTGAAATAATTTTAAAAATTGTGGAAAAATATATTAAAATGTGTGTATTTTCTTAAAAAGGAAGAAATTTGGAATTGGAAGAATATGGTATGTATTTAAATAAGCACACCAAGTTCAAATGTATTGTCCCACCTTCTGTGACTGTCAACATGTTTACACATCCTGCTCACACACCAAACCAATTTTTGTAAATGCAAAGGTAACAAGACACTTTAAAGATGATGTGCACCAAAAATCTTTGTTGTACGTTTATTTAAACTTACATTGCTAGCCTCTTCTTTAGGAGGTTTGTGGCAGTCTTCCTCTTGCCAAGGTGCAACCAAGATATAAACAGCTCTATTCATGTGATAATTTACTCTAAACATGTGATACTGCATGACTATTATCCAAAAACTCTAAACTTTCAATATCTGCTGAACATTAACTGAAAATTTAATTGGTAAGCTTCTTAGAGTCCTTGGAAGTAAAATTAATTTCTTGGTCACTACTGTGACCAGTGGGTTTAGATGTTCGATAGATAGCCTTGCACTTCAACAGCACTGTGGTTTCATTTTTGGGTATCGGATCTTGCCCTTACTGTACAGTTTGCTCAAAAATGATTACGATACATTTTAAGATAATGATGCTGTCAAGTCTTTATGTAACTAGCAGATATTCGAGAATAAATGAAGGGCAGGATTAGCCCTAACAAGCCTAAGAAGTTAAAACAGTTAGGTCGCCACTCTTCAAAGAGAAGACATGAAAAGAGCGGGGGAACAGGGATAAATCTTTTTGTTTTCCACTCCCCTTTTCAAATTGAACCTATCTAGCACTGGGCTGCTTTTCAAGTTATCTGTGGTATGAGCGTGGCCTGCGGGGGGAAACTGCGAACAGTGAAAACAATTAAAGGTGTAGCCCAGGGCAGACACACCTCTTGTTTATAGAGCGTTCCTGTGGGATGGAGACGTGACAGGGAAGGAGCCAACTTGCTCTGAGGCTTGCTTGCCACACATAGCAGCGCCACAGACATGCAGACGGTTTTAATGTCAATCGAAGTTGTCAGGAAATGTCTTTGGTGGCTATGAAGCGCTGGATTGCACAGAGCCTGTAACAGCTCTACACTAGATCTTTTTGTTGCTTTCTTATTAAGAGATTTAGAGACTTTTTATTGTTTCTGCCAATCTTTGTGATACACATTTTTTAAAAAAAGACATATATATATGTGGTAAGTGTGGTTTTTAAAAGGCCAATAAGTTGTGTTGTAGGTTTGACATTTAAGAATGAAAGAGGATTATAAATTGTCAGCAAACAAAGTCTCCACTTGCATCAGCTGGTTGTGCTGCTGGATCAAATTGATCAAGCTGCAATTTGGGGCCCCAAAAAATCAATCTAGGGGCCACAAATGGCGCCCGGATATGGTATGCAGTCTGAAAACCTTTAGCCATTCATCCGTCCGTCCATATTATGTATTTACAAAATTCACTCAAGAAACCTGAAAACTTTGGCAATTGAAGGCTGTAGAAGTGTGAAAATTTGACAAGTAAAAATTGCAGAAATGCTGTTTTTGTGTTTTGTCTCGTTTTTTGCTGCCCTATGCAACTTTGCTCAGAGCTTTCAGTGTTGCTCAGAGCTTTCAGTGTTGCAGTGAAGCAGCAGACTTAATGAACAGCTGTAATCACCGTCAGAAAGTTTGTTCATTCGAGGAATCATTATCCAGCGAAGGCTTTTACAACTCCTCAGTTCCATCAGACTAAGCAGTGTTGTGGACGTCCTTTTTGTCTAAATCTCACACAGTTCTTCCTGTTCTGTAAACCCCAGACTTACACAGCAAGATTCGAGTGTCTTTTCACTTCAGTCTTTTTCATCTGTCTCGTGTGTTTTCTCAGCGAAGTACTCGTATGGAGACTCATTACATCGAGATGCTCATGATTCCCCCGTATGATGAAATGAGGATCTTGGAAGTTTAATTTATGAGCTCCATCTGGCTTACTGAAGTGTCAATGTTTACATTTCATAAATGCTGTGTGTGTGGTTTTTTTTTTCTTTTTTGAGTGGACTGGAAAGCTTGACCATGAAATTTCAAGTCTTTCCACACATCAGCGCTATCAGAAACCGATTTAGAGCAGTCGTCTGATTTTGCCAAGTTCCTCCAGTCTTTCGTCTGTTTATGTTCATGATAAATGTCCCAAGTTCCTGTTAATATTCCATTTTAATATTCATTTTGTCCTTATTGCTCCCAGATGAGAGACATTGAATTCAAAAGATTAAAGCTGCCATAAATCTGCAAACTTCCTGTCCTCATCAGATAGGCGCCTATTTATTGTTTCCTTATTTTTGAAAGACCAAGAGACAGAGCAACCACTCATCTGCTTATTATTACCGCTCTTATTACAACAGTGTGTGCCTGAAGGATAATGGAAGTGGTTAGGAAGTGACTTTGTAGAGTTATTGGGCAACATCCCCTCAAGAATTGCTCCAAATATATAAAACAACAACAAAATATATAAAACAAAGTGAGAAGACACTAAAAAATGAGTAAATGTTTAATCCCCTCACTCAGGTCAATTTTAAATGGAACCATTGGTGCATCCTGCCAGCCCACGTCTTAAAAAGCAGAGCCTGGGTTGTAGTTTGATTATGAAGTTTCGTGTCATCATTAAAAAGACATCAGCTTCCCATTTCTTCCAGTAATAGCTCAGGTGTTCCATCTGCAACATGCGCTGGTCTTTCTGGGTGCAGTTCAGATCTGGTCATAGAAGCGCCTGCTGCCTCGGTTCAGTTTCTCCTGCTGATACTGAGCCACTGCTTGGAGGGAGCCGGTGCCAATTAGGCAGCAGGGGTCTTTCAGCCTCCCGGCTAATGACAAGACTGCTGCTGGCCTGTCCCTTATTATACCCACACCTCCCCCTCTCCTCAGCAGGACAACTTTGGCCAAATGAGTTTCTCCACCGTGTAGCTGGCCAAAAATGTAACAGTCCATTTATTCACTTCAAACATCCCCAACCTAGGAATTAGGCTTTCACAAAAGTCAAGGTGCTTAGCAGTTAAAAGGAATGCAATTTGGATCAGGGAGGGTTCCTCCGCTTTACATTTGATTTATTTTCACTTTTATTCAGGACGACAACAGAGACATTTGTGCTTGAGATGAAATCCAGAACATTGAGACTCAGACATTTTAGGTTTAGTCAGCTGACATATCCATAATGTCGGTCCTATTTCTTTTTGAAAAACCAGGCAATAACCTGAAGTGTGCACTGATGCAAGTCACTTATGGTGACTTATGGGTTCAGTTCATTTGCTTTTAGTTGTGAGTGCTGAAAAAGAAAACATACTCAGGTCAGCTGCGTCATAAAAAACACATGCTTCGTATTTTAAAAGGATTCAAAAGGGAGGAGAAAATATTCTAGACATTTGTTCAAATTGTCGATTTAATCTGGGTTTGTTCTGCTGCAACTCCTTGCCTTCAGACTCTTTAACCTTTTCCACATTTTTTAATACCACTACTACAAAGGGTATATTTTCTATGTATTTCATATGACATACTAACCTAAAGTATAGTTTTGAAGTAAAACCAAAAGGAAACTTTTTTTTTTTTTTTTTTTTTTTTACAAATAAAAAAACTAAAATCTAGAAGGTTGTGTTATGATTGAACCCCTGTACTCTGGTTCCCCAAAGTTGAGACATGAGTTGAAGTCCTAAACTTTAAATTCAAGGAGAAAACAAATACCTTATCCAATTATGTAATTTGATCAGAGTAAAATAATTTTGATATTAATGAATTATTTTAAATTGTACTTTATCCACAAGAACTCATAAAAATTGTCTAAAAGCTGTGCTGATGTTGTTTTTAACTGAAATTTTAAACAAAAGAAAAACAAAACAAAGCATCCCATAAATTAAGAAATGTGGACTGATCCATAATAAAAAATACACATGAAATAAAATAATTGACACAGTGCAATTCAAAATTATACAAGTAACACAAGATAATTAAAATAAAGGCTAAAATGATTTCAAATTTTATATTAATAGTATTGAACTGTTAAGAGTAATTTTTGTGGTAAAGGTTAATATTAAAGACATAACTGTAGCGTTGCTAACTCTACTCTGTCCCTCTGTCTTACAGCATTTTTGCATTGAGTCCATCTCCTTAAACAATGGCCACACATTAATATCAGCTCTGGCAACCTGTACATAACATCGATGCAGCCGCAGGCAGCACTTGCATTGCTCTCTCCAGGGTTATTTACTCCTGTCTGCATTTAACATCTTAGTGAATATCATGAGAGTCCCACTGCTGAGCAGTCTACCTACTTTTTGCACGATGCTGCGCT